GGTCGAGGCTGCGGTGACCGGGAACAGCCACTGCACTCCAGTCCAACAGAGTGAGACTCCAACTCAAAAAAAGGGTATTATTGTGGAAACTTAGAAAGTCATATGGTGGTAGAGATACTTACTGATCCTGTATTTATTGTTTTCTAGGGTTTTTCAGTGGACCAAGCTTCTAAATATGTTTTTAAAAAGATTTAAATAGGCCAGGCTCGGTGGTTCAGCCTGTAATCCCAGCACTTTGGGAGGCCGAGGTGAGTGGATTACCTGAGCCCACGGTTTGAGACCCACCCTGGCACTTGGCGAGACCTCATCTCTACAACAAATAAAAAATTAGCCAGGTGTGGTAGCGCGCGCCTGTAGTTTCAGCTACTTGGAAGACTGAGGCAGAAGGATCGCCGGAGCCCAGCAGGTTGAGGCTGTGGTGGCCAGCAGCGGCCACTGCACTCCAGTCTAAGAGACAGAGTGAGACTCCAACTCAAAAAAAAAAAAAAAAAAGATTTAAATAGATCATGAGTCCATACTAATACTTTCAGTTCAGATGCAGGAATACAGGGTTTTTGCTTAACCCTATCTGTATATTCTTTTTCTCTTAACAAAAATCCTGTTTTTTAGTGATACCAATAAAATTACCTAGTTGGCCATTGCCTTACTAGACTCTGGCGTGGCCATGTGCTCTTGGAGCTATGTCCACTGCCATGTTTCCTGACTTCGGCCCCCTCTCCTACTTTGGGGAGGTGAATCTCTTCTCTCTCTCTCTCTTGCTCTCTAATTTTCTTTCTAAGTAACTATATTTCCTAATCAAAATAAAATAAAATAAAAGTACCTAGTTGCATAAACCTCAGTACCTCAACAATCTCAGAATACTAATACTACCACCAACAGTAAATTACTAGAAACAGTTTAAGATTTTGTTTTTTTCTTTTTGAGTCAGAGTCTCACTGTCGCCCAGACTGGAGTGTAGTGGCATGCTCACAGCCACCACAGCCTCGACATGCTGGGCTCAGGCAATCCTTCTGCCTTAGCCTTTCAAGTAGCTGGAACTACACATGCAGGCTACCATGCCCAGCTAATTTTTTATTTATTGTAGAGCCAAGGTCTCCCCAAGTTGCCCAAGCTGGTCTCGAACCTGTGGGCTTAGGCAGTCCTCTCACCTCAGCCTCCCAAAGTGCTGGGATTGCAGGCTTTAGTCACCACACCCAGCCCAGTTTAAGATTTTTGAGGACACTTTTCTTCCTTGGGAAATATACCAATAAGGATCTATGATCAACTGCAAGGTTTAAAAAGTAATCCCAGCACTTTGGGAGGCAGAGGTGAGAAGATTGCCTGAACCTAGGGGTTCAAGACCAGCCTGGACAACTTGTCGAGACCTCGTCTCAATAATAAATAAAAAAAACTAGCCAGGCATGGTGGCATGAATCTGTGGTTCCAACCACTTGGAAGGCTCAGACAGAAGAATCATCTGAGCCCAGCAGGTCAAGGCTGCAGTGACTGGGAATGCCAGCCTGGGTGACAGAGTGAGACTCTGACTCAAAAAATAAAAAATTGAAATTCCTTTCTGTAAGGGTATGCCACCAACTCAGCAACACATTCTGGTTGAGTAGAGTGGCTCATGCCTGTAATTCTAGCACTTTGAGAGGCTGAGGCGAGAGGATTTCTTTGGGAGACTGAAGCAGAAGGATTGCCTGGGTCCTGGAGGTGGTAAGCTATGATGGTGCCACTGCACTCCATTCTGACTTTTTGAGACCTCAACTTAAAAAAAAAAAAAAAAAGGAAAACACAGACACACACACAACACATTCTGCTTTTGATTTCTAGAAGTTGCTTTTTAAAATTTTACTTTTGCATGTAAAATTGTGTAATTGTATAATTATAATTATGTATAATATTTACATAGTTCCAAAGCCAAGTCTATAAAACAAGTTGTATGCTGAGAAATCTCACTTCTTTCCATGTCTTTTCCACGCTGTCTCTCCCTCTCCCTGTAGAAAACTATTTTATTTATGATTTATCCTTTTTTTAAAAAAATATGTAGCCAGACACGGTGGTTCACACCTGTAATACCAGCACTTTGGGAGGCTGAGGCAAGAAGATTGGTTCTCCAGGTTTGAGATCAGCCTGGGCAACTTGGCAATACCTCATCTCTCTAATAAATTTTTTAAAAAATAGCCAGGTGTGGTGGTGTGTATCTGTAGTTCCAGCTACTTGGAAGGCTGAGGCAGAAGGATCACCTGAGCCCAGCAGGTCAAGGCTGCTGTGACTATGAGCATTCCACTGCACTCCAACCTGGACATCAGAGTGAGATTCTAACTAAAAAAAAAAAAAAAAGTAATAAATATAAACAAATAAATGTATTTATATCTCCTCATTCGTGGAGAAAAGGTGGCATACAATATACCTAGACTCATACTTGCTTTTTTTAGTTAACGGCATTTCTTGGAGACTACTCCATAGCTGTATGTTGAGATGGTCCTAATTCCTTTGTATAGCTGTGTGGTAGTCCATTGTGTGGATGTAGCAGAGTTTATTCAAATGGTCTCTGTCTTAGGTCAGGCTGCTATGACAGAATACCATAGACTGAGATGCTTAAACAAACTTTTATTTCTCATAGTCCTGGAGAAAGATGTCTGAGGTCAGGGTACCAGCATGGTTAGGTTCTTGGTCTGTCCCCTTGTCCTGGTCACAGATGGCTGCCTTCTGACTGTATCCTTCCATGGCAGAGAGAGAAAGCTTTGGTCTCTTCTTTAATCCCATCATGACCTCATATAAGACTCATTACCTCCCAGAAGTCACACCTCCAAATACTGTCACACTGGGGATTATAGAGTCTCTTTTTTTTTTTTTTTTTTGAGTTGGAGTCTCACTCTGTCCCCCAGACTGGAGTGCAGTGGCCACTCCCAGCCACCGCAGTCTAGACCTGCTGGGCTCCGGCGATCCTTCCACCTCAGCCTTCCAAGTAGCTGGAACTACAGGCGCATGCTGCCACACCCGGCTGATTTTCTTTTTATTTATTGTGGAGATGAGGTCTTGCCAAGTTGCCCAGGCGGGTCTCGAACCCGCGGGCTCAGGCAATCCACTCACCTCAGCCTCCCAAAGTATGGGATTACAGGCTGAGCCACCGAGCCCAGCTTAGAGTTGCAATATAGGAATTTTAGTGGGACACAAACGTTCTGCTCATAGTAGTCCCTGTCTGATGGGTAGTTGGTTCATTTCCAGTTTCTTGGTGTTAAAGTTAGTGTTCCAGTAAAAAGCCTCGTGCGCACATCTTTTCACATTTTGGCCATTATACCTTTGAGGCAGATTCCTAGAAGTGGTATTGCTAGGTTAAAAATATATATATGTAATTTTTCTAAATATTGCCAAATTTCCCTCTACAGGTGTTGTGCCGTTTTATAATACCACTAACCATACATGAGACTGTTTCCTCACAGCTTTACCAACAGAAAATATTATCATGCTTGAATTTTGCCAATGTGATAGGTGAAAGCTGGTATTTCAGTGTAGTTTCAATTTACGTTTCTCTTATAATGAGCTAGGTTGAGCATTTTTTCATGTTTGAGGGCCATTTTACTATCATTTGTTCATTTTGTTATTGGGCCTTTCTTCCTCCTCTTCCCTCCCTTTCTCTCTTTGCCTTCCTTTACTTCCCTCTCTTCCTCCTCTTTGTCTTTCTCTTCCCCCTTCTCTTCTTTCTCCTTCTCCCTTTTCTCCTTTAAACTTTTTCCTCCTTCTTTCTCCTACTTTCTTTATTTATTAGGGATATTTACCCTCTCTTTGTCTCTTAGCTTACTAATTTTATTTTTTAATTGTTTTAAATTTTTTTATTTTTAGAAAGTAGGATTTATTGAGAGAACAGGAAAGCTCCCATAGTGGGAGGGGACCCAAAGTGTTACCCTAGCTTACTAATTTTAACTTAGGTTGGGATGTTATTTATCCTTACAGATTAAAGTTGTGTTTCATTTTCTCACATCCCCTTTAAATACATATCTGCACTTTCTTCCTTTTTATATAAGATCATCTGTAGAAAATTTTCCAGAATTTTTTTCTTATTCAAGGCAGTTGGTACCTCTTTATAGAAATTAAAACTTTATGCAAGGAACATTTCTTCAAAGATGTTGTAAAAATGTCTTAGAGTTTCAAATGGAACATGATTCTGTGGAGCTTATGTTCTTTTTTCTAATTCGTTTACCTCTTCTTTAATATAGAAACAGAAGTATACTGAGAAAATTAATGAGCTGGAGGGACAATTCCATCAAAAAGCCAAAGAAATTGGCATGATTCAGACAGAGCTGAAAACAATAAAACAATTTCAGAAGAGAAAAATCCAAGTGGAGAAAGAATTAGATGATGTAAGTTTCTTTCTTTAAAAAAAAAAAAAAAGGCCAGGCTCAGTGGCTCAGCCTGTAATCCCGCGCCTTTCATCTCTACAATAAATCAAAAATCAGCTGGGCGTGGTAGTGCGCGCCTGTAGTTCCAGCTATTTGGAAGGCTGAGGCAGAAGGATTGCCGGAGCCCAGCAGGTTGAGGCTGCGGTGGCCGGGAGCGGCCATTGCACTCCAGTCTGGGCGACAGAGTGAGACTCCAACTCAAAAAAAAAAAAAAAAAAAAGATGGAGATTAGAATTAACTACATAAGCCTGCAAAAAGACTTTGCAAACATTTACTCCTGTGAGATGGCAGGAAACACTGTGACATATTAGAGATTATTTGAGAGCAAAAGACATTATTTCATTCTTGATAGCTGAATATTATACCATAGTGTATATATACCACATTTTCATTGTCCACTGTTCAGTTGATGAACATTTAGGTTGATTCCACATCTTTGCAATTGACCCCTCCCACTGTGGGAGCTTCTCTGTCCTCTCAATAAATCCTGCTTTCTCTCTTAAAAAATAAAATAAATAATAAATAAAATTTAAAAAGAAATATAAGATAAAAGCAAGGCACAGTGGCTCTTTAATCTCAGCACTTTGGGAGGATTGCCTGAGTCCAGGGATTTGAGACCAGCCTGGGCAACTAGGTGAGAGCTCATCTCTGCAATTAATAAATCAAAAATTAGCCAGGCACGGTGGTACATGCCTGTGGTTCCAGCTACTTGGAAGGCTGAGGCAGAAGGATCACCTGAGCCCAGTAGGTTGAGGCTTTGGTGGCCGTGAGCGTGCCACTGCACTCCAGCCTGGGTGTCAGAGTGAGACTCTGACTCAAAAAAAAAAAATAGAAACATAGAAATACAAGATATATAGTAATGCTCAATAATTCTTTGTTAAATGTGGAGTGGGTCTTTGCATTAAAAACATAATTGACGGGATGTTAAGTTTTCTAGAAGGAATATCAAGTGTTGAATCAATATAATTAACTTTTCAGGTACGAAATAGTCATCCTGTGTATACATTCTGAGTCAAAATATATTAAGAACTATTTGTGAAAGAACTGAGTACCACATGTTCTCACTCATAAGGAGACCCTGAACATTTACCATAATACTATAAGAAAGGGATTGGCAGTAACGGGACACTGCTGGGGAGGGTGGAGGGCACGTAACATAAACAAGGGTACCTGATCTCAAACCAGGTGAGGTGGGGACCAAAGGAAGGACCAAACTTTACCAGTACAATAACAACTTGTATACCTAATCCTAAATTGTACGCCACGTCTTTAAAAAAAACAATTAGTTGTGCATATTCTAATGCGCCACGATGTAATTTTTTAAAAAATAACTATATTGCCACCCAGTGGAGAAATAGATTTCAGACCTTTCAAATAGGGCTATTGGGAAAGATTTAAAATTCATAGGCAAAAGATACTGGCTTGTTGGGGAAAAAAATTAGAGAAGAAAATTGATTATGCCATGTATATATAATTCATTATGTCAATTTAAAAAAGACTAATTAGATTATAAAAAGATATTCAAGGCATACATATTTTTAAAATATATCGTTAGTTTGTATTATTTTGTTAATAGAAATGTATGTTTTTAGGTTGCCATCTTAAAAAATAGTTTGTTTTAGTCTTTCTTCTTTTGACAAAGTGATAATACTCATTTCAGCAAATTTAGCTTAGCTGTTAAAAGAAGAAAATAAAAATACCCTATCCCCCACAACTGCACTACCTAGAGATAACCATTGTTAATATTTTGGTATATGGTTGTTCTTTTTTTCCTCTGCTGTGTAGAAACTTATTTTAAAATATCTGTATGTGATTTTTACAAATATGAAGTCATGACTTACAAATTTTTAACCTGATTTTTTTATTTTATATAGTGTGAATATCTTTAATATCATTAAATATTTTCTACAGAATCTTTTTGAATAGATACATGGAACTCCATTGGGTATATGTACCATAATTTATTAATTGGTAGCTTGCTGTTGTACAATTGGACTTTTTCCAATTTTTCACTCTTATAAACTGTGATAAACATCTAAGGAATGAATTCTTTTTCTATATCTTTAATTAGTTTTTAAGATAACTTCTCAGAAGAGGAACTTATGGGTTAATGAACATGACATTTTAAAGGTATGATGTGCACTGCCTAATTATTTTTTGAAAGTTTTATTAATTTATATATTATTGGGGGAAGTCTAATAGCATATGAAAGATCCATCTGCAGATATACCAGCATAGTAGATATCTATAAACTTGTATAACTTGTATACTGATATTAATTTTGAAAGTCTTTGACAATGTAAGCGGTCTTTTTTTTGGAATCTCACTCTGTCACCCAGGCTGCAGTGCAGTGGCACACTCATAGCTACTGCAGCCTCAGCCTGCTGGGCTCAAGTGATCCCTTCTGTTTCAACCTACCAAGTAGCTGGAACTGCAGGCATGCGCCACCATGCCTGGCTAATTTTCTGGCTTATTGTAGGTATGAGCTCTCACCAAGTAATAGGTCATTTTAAAATAAATTTATTTTTTAAAATTCAGGAAAAAAACATCTAAAAGAGATAAAATAGATGGCCTGGCACCGTGGCCCATGCCTGTAATCCCAGCACTGTGGGAGGCCAAGGCGGGAGGGTTGCTTGAGCCCAGGAGCTCAAGACCAGACTAGGCAACATAGACCTCATCTCTACAAAAAATAAAAAAAATTAGCTGAGTGTGGTGGCACATGTCTGTAGTCCCAGCTGCTCAGGAGCCTGAGGCAGAAGGAGCTCCTGAGCCCAAGAGGTCAAGGCTGCAGTGAGCCATGACTCCATCCTGGGCAATACAGTGAGATCCCAACTCAAAAAAAAAAAAAATGGAGACTTATTTATAACAGAGATTACAGTAAGGAAATTTGTTAAGTATAGCAAAGGATAAAGTAAATAAAATAATAACTAACCTATACAAGGAGGTATCCAAAGAAACTATTTATAAAAAATTGTGGGCCAGTAATCCCAGCACTTTGGAAAGCTGAGGTGAGAGGATTGCCTGAGCCCGGGTGTTCAATACCAGCCTGGGCCATTTGGTGAGACATCATCTCTACAATAAATCACAAAAAACTAGCCGGGCTTGGTGGCATGCATCTATAGATTAATATTTGGAAGGCTGAGGTGGAAGGATCACCGAAGCCCAGCAGGTTGAGGCTGTGGTGGCCATGAGCATGCCACTGCATTCCAGCCTGGGCGACAAGAGTGAGACTCCAACTCAAAAAAAAAAAAAAAAAAAGGTAAGTGCCTTAACCAGAGTCAAATAGCTGATGAGAGACGCAGCACTCAACTCTGGTCTGTCTGATAGAAAGCACTTCTCTACTGCCTTTTTTGTGATTGAGTATGCCTACAATCTTAATCATTCTTGCCAGTAAATATAGATTACAGGATCACTGCTTTAAATTAGTTTAACTTTCTTTAACTAAAAGAAGTTTATGTCCTTTTTATTCTATATACCGGGGGTGCCAAAAAAATGCCAAACATTTTAAGCAATGTTACCTGTGTATTACTTTTGAAATTGAATTGAATAACAATGTGTAGCATGACATCACTCAAAAGATGGCGTTAATCAAATGAATGCTAGCATCACCATGCAGCAGGCAGGACAGTCAAAGAAAATGGCAGAAGCACAGGTGTCATTCAAGGAGCGCATGACTATTTGGAGTGTTATTTGAAATTCGATAACCTGTGAGAATACAACAACAGTGATTGTGTGAGTATGCAACAGAACCTCCAACAATCCTAACAATTGCACACACATTCGTGGTAAGTCTGAGATGCATGGTACTGTGTGTGGTGTGCACAAGGGAAGATCCTGGAGGCCGTGCACAGCAACAAGTCTTGCCATAATCAGAAGTGTCTGGACACTGATGGTGACCACTTGGAGCACCTCTTGTAATTGCAAAAGTCAAATGTGACTTGGATTCATCTTTTGTTATCAGTATATATTGAGTATTACAATTTTAATACAGTTTTTTCCTCTCTTAAAATGTGTATACACTTTTTTACCCTCTGTAGTTTAGAAAACAGAGATGGGATTCATCCATGAGAGTCATGGGAGACATTTTTTAAGATGGATATTAGGAATAATTGTCTTTTGGTTTTGGAGGAGGGGATTTTTTTGGTTTTTGTTTGTTTGTTTGTTTTGTGAATTGGAGTCTCACTCTTGTCACCCAGGCTGGAGTGCAGTGGCACGCTCATGGCCACCCCAGTGTCAACCTGCTGGGCTCAGGCGATCCTTTCGCCTCAGCCTTACAAGTAGTCAAAACTACAGGAGCGTGCTACCACACCCAGAAAATTTTTTGATTTTTTTGTAGAGATGAGGTCTTGCCAAGTTGCCCAGGCTGTTCTTGAACCCGTGGGCGCAGGCAGTCTCCTCACCTCAGCCTCCCAAAGTGCTGGAATTACAGGCTTAAGCCACTGCGCTTGGCCAGGAAGAATTGTTTTAATGGGAACCATTGAAGGGCAACCTAGTGAATTAATGAGATTTGGATTAGTATATTCTGTCTCAGGACATTTTTCTTATAGAAGTGATTCCTATATCAGATGGGATAATTGTATAGTCTATATCATCCCTTCCAATCCTAAAATTTTATGATTCAGTGATTCTACATGCTGAAATGAAGGTATTTGGGAAAAATGGTTATGAGAAATCTGTTCTGAGAACTGTTATTCATGAAAGGCCTTTTAAGACTCAGCACAGAAGTCTCCCCTTATCCACACTGGATACATACCAAGACCCCCCAACAGATGCCTGAAACCATGGATAGTACTGCGTTCTACGTATATTGTTTGTTCCTATAAATACATACCTATGATACATTTTAATGTATAAATTAGGCATATAAAATATAGCAACAACTAATGATAAAATAGGATAATTATAATAATATACTGTAATAAAAATTATGTGAATATGGTGTTTCTCGCTGTCTCTCTCTATACTTAAATATTTTCAGACTGTAGTTGACTGCAGTTAACTGAAACTGCAGAAAGAAACCATGGATAAGGGAGAACTGCTGTACTGATCTTGTATATCTAGGTTGGGGGAAATATGATACTCAGAATTTTTCTTGTGTTCAGGATTAAGAATTAATATTTAACAGAAAATATTTCTTTGGTGAGAATTTTCTGGGAATATGCATCAATCAACCTCATTTCCTGTTGACCACTTATTGTTTTGTTATTTTTGTTTCAGCTGAAGGAAAATTTAAGGAACACAGAGCGGAAACATCAGGAGATGCTTAGAAGACTAGAAGGCAGGTTTTTTGAAGAAAAGGTATAGAATATTAGGATTAATTAAGAAATGTTTTGCTTACTAGAACAACAGCTTGGTGTTCCCCTGGTGGGACTAAAGCTACATATACTCCATTATACAGGGGAGATGGATTGGGAAATCACTCTGGCGTGTGGGTGAAGATGTTTCCTTAGGCCAAGCTAAGGATGTTAATAAAAGGATGCTCAAAAATGTTCCTTTGCACATCACAAACTTCCAAGTTTTTCTGTGTTTCTGAAGTTAATGTTGCAAATTGGTGGGAAGTACACTGGAATACTTCTCTTCTACAGAATACTTTCAGAGGCTCCATAGTTTCTTCTTGAATTAATTATTTTACTGTTTCTTTAATTTTTTATTCTTAGAAAATAAACAGATTTTTTCAAAAATTAGTATGTATGCAAGGAGTTTAGGGTGGGGCAAATAAGTACTCATATGAGGTTCAGATAAAAGGAATTGCTTTAGAAAGTGACCCTAAATTTCCCATTTGTGTATGGTGTGGATCAACCTGGAGGTGGGGGGCTAGGAGCAGCACCCTGGTGCTGCTCCAGGCCCTTCCTGGCACTGTCAGGAATGGAAGCTCTGGGGAATGGGCTACTCTCTCCCCTCTACTCTACTCTCATCTTGATCTCTTTTCTACTTGCTGTAGAAAATAAAGGTTAGCCCGCGCCTTTGGGAGGCTGAGGTGAGTGGATTGCCTGAGTCCACGGGTTCGAGACCCACCTGGGCAACTTGGCGAGACCTCATCTCTACAATAAATCAAAAAATCAGCCGGGCGTGGTAGCGCACGCCTGTAGTTGCAGCTACTTGGAAGCCTGAGGTGGAAGGGTCGCCGGAGCCCAGCAGGTTGAGGCTGCCGTGGCCGGGAGTGGCCACTGCACTCCAGTCTGGGTGACAGAGTGAGACTCCAACTCAAAAAAAAAAAAAAAGAAAAGAAAGGTTAGAAGTACTTGGTCACCTGAGGAACAGTGCTTATGTAAATAGAATTTATATGTCTGAGAGCAGGCAGCTGCTAGATGGTTACTGCAGCTCCAAGCTCTCTGTATTCAAGGCAAGGAGAAGGGAGGCTCCAGCTCTGGCTGTCTTTTTTTTTAAATCTGGAAGCTATCAAGACCTTCCCAGAAGCTCCTAGCAGATTTCTTCTTACATTGGCCAGAACCATGCCATAAAGGATGCTGGGAAAGTGAGTGTTTTGTTTTTCCAGCCACTTGTGGAAGCTGGGAAGGAAGGAGGAGTATGGGAAAGAGTGTTGGTCTGGCCATCCACAACAAACACTGCTTCACCGTGTTAGCATGAACTTTGTGTGTGTTTCTCCTATGCTGATTTGAGCCTAGGATCTGCTGCTTCGTGCAGTGGGCATCCCAGTAGGCCTGTTCATCCAAGACCTCATCATGTTCCACCTGGTCATTTCTCCAGGTCATCAGTATTTGGTTTGCTTTGGTTTGCTTTGGTTTTTCTGTTTATTCCTTTCTGTTCCTTGAGTCACAGAGCTCTATCCTACAGCCAGGTTTTTGTACTTGCTGTTGCGTCTTCCTGGAATACTGTTCCTCCAGCTCTGGCTCATTCTCATTCGGTAGAGCTCAAATGGCATTTCTGTAGAGAGAGATTCCCTAAACTCCAGTCTAAAATGGCCTCCCCTTTTCATTACCCCATTAATTTTATTATAGCTTTCATCACAGTCTATTAATGCTCTTGTCTGTTTACTTTTTAGGGGGCCATAGGATAACAGATTCCTGTACATGAATCTTAGCTCTGCCATTTACTAGCTATGTGACTTTGGGCGAGTCACTAGCCTCTCTTTTTCTCCGTTTCCTCAGCTCTGCTCTTTGGGGATAATAATAATATCTATTTTGTAGGAATGTTGTGAGAAATAAATAATACATGCGAGGCTCTTAAAACCGTGCCTGGCACATAGTAATTGCTGCATACATTGTAATCATTGCTGTTTGTTTGTGTCTGGCTCTAGAGTGTAAACAAGGAGCCTTGTCAGTTTTGTGTTTTGTTCACCACAGAATCTTTAGTATCTAAAGCAATGTGGTACACTATTAGTGCTCAATAGGAACTTGTTGACTGAATAAATGAATGGCTGTCATCTCATGGCATTTAGCAGTAATTTCCCAGCTGTGCTTTTCAATATGGAAGTGGATTTCCCTCTATTTATATGTCATGATGGTTCTTTAATGGGGAAGTTGGGAGACTTACTAAAGCTCCTGTGTTCAGATAGTCCTTCTTGCTGGTTCCTCCACCTGTGCTTGGGGTTTTTCATGTCTGGTCATGTGGACAGGAGTATTTTATCTGACATTCTGAAATAAATACTTGATGTGTATAATTTTTGTTAGAAATATAACTGTATTTAAACATTTTGTTTTTGAGTCGGGGTCTCACTGTCACCCAGGCTGGAGTGCAGTGGCACACTTACAGCCACTGCAGTCTCGATCTGCTGGGCTCAGGTGACCCTTCCTCCTCAGCCTTCCAAGTAGCTGGAACTACAAGCACACGCTACCTTGCCTGGCTAATTTTTTTTTATTTATTGTAGAGACGAGAGCTCACCAAGTTGCCCAGGCTGGTCTTGAACCTGTGGGCTCAAGTAATCCTCTCACCTCGGCCTCCTAAAGTGCTGAGATTATAGGCATGAGCCACTGTGCCCAGCCTAAGCAGCTTTTTTTTTTTTTTTTTTAGCACCGTCTAGAACAAGAAACTGAAAAGAAGATCATAACACTGGCAGAGAGAGCCCACCATGAAGCTGTTGTGTAAGAGACCGCTGCCTCTTTTCCCTTTTCTCTTGACTTGCTTTCTTCCAATTTTCTGATCTGTTCTCCCTCACTATTTCTTTCTTTATGTCTCCCCACCCCTTTTTCCTCCACCTTTTCTGTAGCAGCATGGTATGCGGGAAAGAACCTGAGCTTTGAACTTATTTAGGCTTTGGTTCCCAACATTTATACTCACTGACTGTATAAAGATTTCTTTTTTTTTTTTTGAGTTGCAGTCTCACTCCATCACCCAGGCTGGAGTGCAGTGGCATGCTCACGGCCACCCCAACGTCGACCCTCTGGGCTCAGGCAATCCTTCCACCTCAGCCTTCCAAGTAGTCAGAACTACAGGCACATACTACCATGCCTGGCTAATTTTTTATTTATTGTAGAGATGAGGTCTCGCCAAGTTGCCTCGGCGGGTCTCGAACCCACGGGCTCAGGCAATCCACTTTCCTCGGCCTCCTAAAGTACTGAGCCACTGAACCTGGCCTTATGAAGATTTCTTAACTTTTCTTTTTTTTTTTTTTTTTTTTTGAGTCGGAGTCTCACTCAGTCGCCCAGACTGGAGTACAGTGGCCGCTCCCAGCCACCGCAGTCTCGACCTGCTGGGCTCCACCTCAGCCTTCCAAGTAGCTGGAACTACAGGCACACGCTACCACGCCCGGCTAATTTTTGGTTTATTGTAGAGATGAGGTCTCGCCAAGTTGCCCAGGCAGGTCTCGAACCCACGGGCTCAAGCGACCCACTCACCTCATCCACCGAGCCCGGCTCTTAACTTTCTTGAAATCAAATTTCTTCATCTAAAAGTGGGGCTAATAGGCCGGGCTTGGTGCCTCAGCCTGTAATCCCAGCACTTTGGGAGGCCTAGGTGAGTGGATTGCCTGAGCCCGTAGGTTCGAGACCAGCCCAGGCAACTCGGTGAGATCTCGTCTCTACAATGACAACTTGGTGAGATCTCATCTCTACAATCAATCAAAAATTAGCCAGGCATGGTAGCACGCCCCTGTAGTTTCAGCTACTTGGAAGGCTGAGGTGGAAGGATCGCTGGAGCCCAGCAAGGTCAATGCTGGGGTGACCGTGAGCGTGCCACTGCAACTTCAGCCTGGGGGACAGGGCGAGACTCCAACTTAAAATAAGTAAATAAACAAACAAGTAAATAAATAAAATAAAAGTGGGGCTAATAATAATAATAGCCATCTAGCAGGGTTGTTATGAGGCACATTATGGAAGTAACACTAAACTGTTATGTTAGCTAACAAACTCCCGGGTCTCAGTGACTTTATTTCTTGCTCAAGATAATCAAATGTGGGGCTGGCAGCTCTCCTCCAATTGTGATTCAAGAACCTGGACTACTTCCATCTTGCACCTCTGCCATCTTGGAGTTCATGTTCAGTCATGTGGACTGGAGAGAGCATGGGAAACTCATACTTGCTCTTAACTGCCTTGGACTAGAAGTAACATATCCCTTTTTACTTTCCTGTTGGGTGAGAACTTAGTCATAAGATCCCCACCTAACTATTGAGTACCCACCATCAGCTAGATAAGTGATGGTTATTATTATTAATGTTAGGGGTGAGGAAGTACTCATTGTTCTCGTTTAGTGATATCTAAAACTTGGGTCTGTGTTTTGAGAACTTACATCTATTTCAGGCAATTGAACAATGCTGGAAGAAATGTTTTTAAAGAGAATGTTTATCTCCAGAAAGCCCTCGCATACCACCTGAAGGAAGCTGATGCTCTACAAAAAAACTCCCAGAAGTTGCAAGAAAATCATACTCTCCTTTTACATCAAAAGGTTCCAACTCATTTAGATTTTGTTTTCTGTCTTTTTTAAAGGAGTGAGTTGGTGAATACCAAGAATTGAGAATAATAATGATATATTAAGACACTGGACCATCTTTCTTCTGTCTGTGTTTGTATATTTCTTAACTGAAAAGATTGGCTACTGAATGGTTTACAAGAAGCATTAGACTTGACTTTATAAAGAATATATTGGCTGAGCACAGTGGCTCACTTTGGGAGGCTGAGGCAAGAGGATTGCCTAAGCACAGGGGTCTGAGACCAGCCTGGGCAACTAGGCGAGAGCTCATCTCTACAATAAATCAAAAAATTAGCCAGGTGTGGTGGTGTGTGCCTATAGTTCCAGCTACCTGGAAGGCTGAGGCAGAATGATCACCTGAGCCCAGCAGGTCGAGGCTGTGGTGGCCGTGAGCGTGCCACTGCACTCCAGTCTGGGTGTCAGAGTGAGATTCCAACTCAAACAAAATGAAACACAATATATCAGAAACATAAATATGACTCTTATCCTCTACTACTTTGGAATATTCATTTTGCATTGCTTAGAATTGGTCCCTGAATCACTTAGGAATAGTTTTAGCTGTGAGTAACAGACTTGACATCAATGACATCACCACACAACAGTTTATTCTTTCACCTAAAGGAGGTCTAGAGGCAAGCAATCCAGAGAAGGAATGGTAGGACCACAGAGTCAGCAGACACTCAGCTTCCTTAACTGATCTGCAACATGTGGCTTACCTCCTTAAAATCACTTCATGGCCCAGCATGGCTGCTGGAACTCTAAGCATTACCCTAAACAGCGGTAAAGAAGACAAGAAGGAAAAAAGTATGCCTCTCTCTCCCTTTGGAGGTCTTCCTGCAAGTGTACATACATTTCTACCTATTGACTAGAACACGGCTATGCTGAGCTTTAATGGAGGCTGGGAATTTTCAGTGGGGCTTACTGCTTTTCGGAATAAAATTGGCATTTTATTACTAAGGAAGAAAGGGGAAGTGGATTTTGGGATAGGCAACTAGAAGACTGACACAGTTTCTAGTATGTGGTTGTTAATGTTTTGCTGTATAGTTTTATTGATGTTGATAATATGAAATATTCAACCTTTCAAAAGTTTAGAGGGAGGAAAGTTTCTTAATTAGGAAAATTAGTGGGTTGCCTTTGCAAGTCTAGACAAGGACCCTAAGACATTTGTTTGTTCTATACACAGAATACTAAAATATCACCCCAGTCTGGTATCAAACTCAAATTTTATGAATTAATGGGAATAAGTGAGGAACTTCTTAAGTTCTGGAATAATTTTTAAAAAATCTCTCACCTTTCTCATCTGTTTTTAGGAGATCAATGAACTGTTGGTTAAGGAAAAGATTATGCAGCTTACCCAACAGAGGTCACAAATCCAGGCTCTTCAGAAGAAGATCATAAGCTTGGAGACTGCTCTAAATTATATGACCAAAGAATTTGAGACTGAAGTTTTAAAACTGCAGCAACAGGCAATGGTAGAGAACCAAGCGGGTCAGGTAGAAATCGACAAGCTGCAGCAACTTCTTCAGATGAAAGATAGGGAAATGAATCGAGCAAAGAAGCTGGCCAAGAACATACTGGATGAGAGAACAGAAGTGGAAAGATTCTTTTTAGATGCTCTTCACCAAGTGAAGCAACAGATTCTATTTAGCAGGAAGCATTATAAACAGATAGCACAAGCTGCTTTCAATTTAAAAATGAGAGAAGCATGTGCAGGAAGAACAGCATATCCAAAAATCAGAACATTTCATGGCAGAGAGCACAGCACCAATAGTGTGAATCAGGATCTGAAGGAGGCTGAGAAATGGTACCAATAATACTTTATCATCTTTGTGCCTTTTAGAGAAATAAGAACTCCAGGCGGGGGGAGGGGGATGGGATTAACAGTAGCAAATATCTGTCTGGGGAAGGGGAAACACCTCTTATCAACAGGGTGCCTGAATGAAATGTAATTGTACACCTAACCCTTAACTGTACCCCACAAAACCATAATAAAAAATTTTGATTAAAAAAAAAAATAAGAACTCTAAAAAGTTTAGTTTGATAATATCCAAGTATTGAATAGATTTCTCAGAAGATGGCTTGAAGACAAGAACTGACTGGCTCATCCTTGTAACCACTGTGCTGGATGAGGCTTAGGATATATTCTTAGTAGGTACGCCCCTTTTTTCTCATAACAGAGGCCCATTAAAGAAGCTAGATTATTTGTTCCATAGGATGTCATTGTAATGTCTCTTACCTTGTTCCTTAGTCTTGTTCCCTGTACCTTGGAAATTAGTTACAAAGGCTTGATTAGATCCAGGTTAAACATTTTTGATAAGTATGCTTTCAGAAATATTTGTACTGTTCCCTTTACTATCCTAAAATGAAATGCATAGGTAATAACATTTAACTAAACATATATATATATATATATTTTTTTTTTGGCCAGGTATGTTAAAGTTTATTGATTTAATTGTAGCCAGAACTCTGTTAAATGACTTTTATGAAAATAGCTTTATTTTAACATGAAGATATCAATTATCTCTAGTATATATAGCTTTATGAAATCAGGACCAACTGGGCTCAGTGGCTCAGCCTGTAATCCTGCACCTTGGGAGGCTGAGGTGAGTGATTGCCTGAGCCCACATGTTCGAGACCCGCCTGGGTACCTTGGGGAGACCTCATCTCTACAATAAAAAA